TTCTAAGCCCATCACGACACACACTCCTATTTGGTTCTCGTTTACTTCTCCTAACCTTATTACGACCTTACGTCCGATGTCGTAGCCAGCGGGTATTGAAACCGCCGATTGATATGTTGATAAGTTACAAACCAACTAGATGTTTCGATGTTGACTTTGTTTCGAATGTACATTGTACCAACGGCGACGTTTTTTGCGACTTGTTGGCAATAAAATCGCTGTGTTACATTAATAGCAGTGTCTAAAAATGAACAATGACATGCCAATGTGGCTCAAGTGCGTATTTTTGCGCATCCAAACACAAATAAAAAATATTTTTTCCATCATGCAGCCACTCGCCGTATCACATTTGCCGCCAGGTGGTAATGTCAGCATTACTGTGTTCCGCTTTTGAAGCGTAAGGGTGCTGGTGAAATTACAGGCACATGGGACTTGTCAACTTATGTCTCAGGGTGACGGGCACAGTGGCAGTGCCCCTCAGATCTTTGCGATTTAAAATTCTGAGTGGCACTGCAACTGTTATGAAGAGGTGTGGAGCTTACCATCAGGCGCACAAGTTGTTCGCCCCGTCATTTGATATTATAAAAAAAAACATAGAGAAACATAGACTATTAAAGATCTAGCCAATCAATATGCAGCCGTAAATTAAAGAAAAAACTAAAATAAAAATTACGATATAGAACATGCGCAACATATATTCGACATCATAAATTATAACCGTCAGTAGATGTGTGTTTGTTTTTACAAAAGAGATCATAGAAATAAATATTATTTCTTATTTTATTACGAAGGACGGAATTGTTAGATACTCACAGAGATCGCATTTATGGTCTCCATGTCTTGTATGTCTTGTACTTATAGTCTCAGCCCACAAGATTCACTTGTACTGGCACTGGACAACCTTGTGGCCGTTGGTTAGTTTAAATTAGCTTTTTGTTCTTGGAAGTTTTCTTAGAAAAGCCATTATTATATTTCATCATAGTTGCAATGTTTATTTTTATTGAATATCATAATGTTTATTACCACGATATTCATACATTTTTTTGTGTTAATATTCCACTAGTTTGTTATTATTATTATTATTATTATAAAGCATGATATGTCCACTATTCGCTACCATGCTATTCAATTAAAATAAATTATTGCTATTTTTAGAAAATTTAAAATTTGGAGTTTACGTTCGCGATTGCTACACATTAAAAATTAAACTATTTTTAGTATAATTAATATAAACATAGTTTCATTTAAAATTGAAACCATTTTTATGTTATTAACATAATTAATATAAAAATAGTTTCATTTAACATTTTCTTACGTAAATTTCGCCGTCTAAATATTTTCGTGATTTTTACGAAAACATTTAGATAACGGGATTTAGGCGAACTCTAAGAATAAACACTAAAATATTCACACTACTACTATATAAAATTTGTGGTTTTGACAAAGATCTTATATAGGTACTTAAAAAGGGTTTTGGTGACTAAAGTCACGTTCTTAATTTTCGCTGAACTGTTTACTTTTAATGGGTAGTTACGGCGTCTTCATTGTAAAAAAATTCACTGTAAATTTGCCACCCCGTATGACACATTTTGCTCAGTCATAAAGGTTATTGCTACTTGTTATTATTCCACGATCACAACAGCCAAGAGCGGAACCCTGCCGGATTCTGTATTTCTCAAACGAACCGTACAGAATAAACAGGTATCAAACGGACTTGTATGATCGTCTTCAGGTTTTTCTCTATGGGTACAAATAAAATAAAATTCAGAACATTATAGAAGCGGTAAATAATGTTTTTCACACGAACATTCTCACAGTTTTAGAAAAGATAAAAGCAGCAGTTTAACAGCGGTCGGTTGATTATAATTACCAGGTAAACATAATATAATAGATTTATGCGAGAAATTATTGCTCGCCACACGCTGGATCAGCAATTGTTTATAGTCTAGAAAGAATATGAGGCAAAGGACGTAACCTCGAATAGCCATTAATTCATATTTACTGCTTTCGCATTTATGAAACATAAAAAGTTTACGAGAAGGTGGAAAGCTGCAGGCATATTCTAACGTAGCAGTTTATGGGTCACCTTAAATAGAGCGTTTAATTATAAAAGACAAGTAAGGCGTGAAAGGTCTCCTTCTACCTATAGATGTATGCACATCTGGGACATTATTTTATTTCAATAGATTGAGAATTTAATTAAAAACTGAATTACATATCTACTTCGTGTATTCGAAAATATTACTTTAAACATTTTAAAATATCATCAATGGTTTTTAATTACAATAGACGTTACATAAATAGTTATATCTTTAAGAGCTCTTCGCTCAAAGTCAGTGTTTTCGACATCCTTTAGTATCAGTAGAGTTCCTTGTGAAAGAGTTCGTCCAGGGAAGTACTGCCATCTTACCTATTTCTGCCGCCAAGCAGTAAAGGTGCTATGCTGGTGAAATTAAAGGCACGTGGGACTTTTCAACTTATGTCTCAGAGTGACGGGCACAGTGGTAGTGCCCTCAGATGTTTGCGGTTTAAAGCTCTGAGCTGCACTGCAACAGTTATGAACAGGTGTGTCACTTATCACCAGGCGCGCGACCCGTCATCGTCCCTTGGTATTTAAAAAAACCTTTGATACAAAACGTAACGTTACATTACAGCTTTGTCATGTCTATTACTCACAACTGAAAAATATTGGTATCCCTTTCTCTTTGTTTTACTTTTATTGTTAAAATTGTTGTTAGTTCATAAATACAATACAAAAATATACATGTATGGTTAACATTGTGTGAAAATAAGCACTTTGAACTTTTAACCTTGGCCTTAATGCGAGTACCTACTAAGAACGAGGTTATGAGAAATACTTAACCAGCATTTGAGCAGTGTAGATTATCAGTGTGTACTTTTTAGTCTCTTTCTAGAAAAGACTTAGTAAGTACTTTTAAGTTGACACAAATCATAATATAGAGCCATAAGAAAGGATACAGTGTGAGAGATGCCGTGTAATGTAATTCATCGTTTTTATACTGGGTATAACATAAATATTGTTGACTGAACTGATGTGAATAATCGAATTCAGCAAATAAATAATTTTATTTTCACAAACAAAAAACAGTTTACTTCCCCTTTATAACATAATTATTCAATTAGATTTATTTATTCGTTCAGCACCAACTTAACACATTTAACATTTACATAATACTATAACAACACAAGACAAGTGTGCAAGTCAACTACAGCCGAACACATGCAAATACTATTTTTGTAAACAACAAAAATAGTATTTTATGAAATCTTTTAGGTTCTTAAGAACCCTCATTATGCAACGATTAAAAGTTGAGTACCGCCTAAGTAATGGTTACGAGATTTTAAGACCTAAAATTATGTAATGATTGCATACAATACTTTTTCTACGAGTCAATAAAATAATGAAACACAACCAATATTTAATGTATGTTTTGTTATAAACTCAACCGAAAGCCAAACAAACGCAACAAAACAAAAAACAAAGGGATAGAATAGAAGTGGCCCAGTATCACTTAAATTTTAACCAATCATTTTTTTTTAATAAAGGTTTGTTGGTTGCAAGATCTCTAGGCCAATTTAACTAATCAGGAGGCAGTAGAGCGTTGCGTAGCGTCATAGTAATATTTTAATTAGCAAAAATACGAATTATTTTTTTAAAACTCATTATGGTTCTGTGTACAGAACTAGAAATAAATGATAGTTGTCTGTATGATACTCATTATACAGTAATAAATTTTTCAATTCGTTAGCGAACTATACTATGGTACATGGTACTATAGTAAGAATTTAACAATATAATTTTGATTCTGAACTAAAAACAGCGCCTTAGTGATATGGTTTATGAAATTATAATTGATAGAATAAAGTATAGGAGTAGAAAAAAATATTTAATATTATTACAAAGTATTAAATTTCTTATTGCTATCAACCAATCCAAATTCAAATATTGTTATATAGTTTTTGTTTGGATATATGAAAGTAGATGAACTGAATATGATGGCGTAGGCATAATAAGAAATATATGGCGTTGTCGCTATTTTTTGTCGTCAGTTATTGTTAACTAATTAATATGCACTTCGAAATCCGGTAACAAGGGCTTTTGTTTCATTTTTACGTACCTATATGAAATTCTTAAAACTCTAAAATAATATTCCAAGTTCTACTTAAATTGTATTAAATTTGATAATATACCTAACAAGAATTTCTAAGGTGATAATTTATAAAGTTTAAGATACTTAATTTAAGATATTGTTTACATCTACTTAGATAAATGAGCAGCTATCGATCTCTGAAAATTTGTGCCTCTTTATGATTTCTAGAAACTCCGCGCTTGATTGGATTATGTGCCTACTTCATGAATACTTAAGTATAGGTGCTTTAACATAATTACCGATTTTAAAACACTAATAACAAAACATAATTAAGTTCTTAGGTTTTCGCGATTATTACACATAGGAAATGAAACTATTTTTCCGGATTTAAATCGCGATTATACGCGATTTAAATCCGGAAAAATAGTTTCATTTCCAAAACATAATTAAGTTAGCAGTAATTTATAGTCAATTAATTATGCAGTTATGCTTTATATATATCCTTACATAATTATATATATCCTTATCATAACTAACGTAATCAACATTTTTAGCGAAATTGAGTTATTAACAAATCCGGAATCATCGAAACGAGACCTAATACTCCTACAACCGGATTTTTAAAATGTATTATTTAGTTTCAATTTTATTGTTAAGCGAAATTAGCGTAATTGACATTTTTCAAAGAAAAAAACTTTAAGTACCAATGTCTCGAAAGTTACTCCAAAAGTACGTTAAGTTATGACAAGCAGGCCAGTGTTTCAATCTATTATAGAGCCCAACCAATAAAAGCACGACAATCCATTACCAGGAGTTATTTCAACAATGATTAGATAGCAGAGTAATTATTACGTGGGATTAATTAAAATTATTTATATTTATTCTCAGGTGGAGGGTAGTGTGCGCGGGGTGCGCGGTGCGAGGGGATGCCGGTGCGCAAGGGGCTACTCGCGCCCCAGAATACCTTCCTCGATACTATCGCCACACGCTTCGATGGCACACGTAAGTATTAAAAAGATATTCACATCGATATCATCTATTATAAATTACTGTTTAGAGCTGTAATACCGCCTAAGCCATATATTTTTGCAAGCGATAGATCATTGTAGTATTTTCATAGATCATTGTAGATCTACATGGTTCACACGATAGACTTCATCCCATTGTCGTTCTTTTTTCTTAAAGTAAGTTAGTTTGGTAATATTATTTAAAGACGAAAATGAGAGCTAATTTTTGTGTTCTTCATTTACTTTTCATATCAAATACAGCTATTTAATTTTAATTCATTCCGGTACTCACTAATATTAGGTGAACTTTTGCCTTCTATATGTCGTACTCGTGGTATAAAAATGCCACATGTGATGACACGTTAAAAGTACTTTTATCACATGAAAATCATAAAAATAATATGAACTACATGAAACAAATTATGTATACATTTTATACCTAACTCATATTTAAGCTTAAAATATGTACATAAACGTGGCCTTGCGATGTTATCATCAGATATTTCAAAATAATTTCCATGACTACTTAAGATATTACTTAGAAGTAAGGGCATGTTTTAACTGTCATGGCAAATACGCTATTTAGCTTTTACGTTTTACCTAGCGACTCTGGCTTGTCTTTGGTTACAGTCGCAGCGACCGCGCGGCGACTGCGCGGTTGTATTATTCCGAGGAATTTAAATGTTGTTGCCTAGTAAATAGAATTCAGATTCGCCAATAATGTACGTGAAAGCGTGGTAAGTGGGCGGTCACCGCGCCGCGCGAAAGCTCTCGCGTCGTGGTATTGGGCGCGAAAGGTCGCTAAACACGAGCTTGACAGGGTCTTTGGTGACATCAAAAGTCAGGCACCAATTCAGGCTCCATGTCATACCTTCCATAGAGAGTACTATATGTATGTATTGGTACATGCATAGGTCAGAATACTGAATTGCTTTCATTAATGTGTTTTTACATTGCGTTACATTGACGGTACAGGGACCATCATCATAAAACAGATATTTCCGACTAACAAATGACATTTCTTTATACTTATTGACATCTAAATGGAAACGTGCTTTAACTGTTTAGGGTTGCGGATCTAAACGGGAAATAAGAAACGGTAATACTTCTGTGTTCGTATCTCTCTCACGACAGCTTTTCCACATTTTTCCTTTTCACTTTTTACCACATAGTTTTTGACTTCTAGATTCTTTTCTCCAAAGTTTATAAGTCATAAAATATGAAATAATTGAAACTGACAGAAACCGTTTTGAAAATTTTAAACAATAAATAAAACGGTGTTTGAATACTAGTTTGGTTTTTGTTTGTTTGGTTATAAATGACGAAACATGACATGAATAGTTCTAGACAAATGTAATAGGACGTATAAATTTTCGCGATACGAATTTCAAATTTTAAATTGAAGTCTTTGTATTGTCACACAAGGTACGGAACCGTTGGTGCGCAAGTTTTATAACCTTGGCAATTTTTCTCTTATTTATTTTTCTCGTTCATTCATTGCTAAAGATCCTTTCTCCAATGAAAAAAAAATATTATTGTTGTAAGCATTTCATTTATTTTAGTGGTTTTTCTATTTCATAAAAGTACTCTGTTGTCGTTGTAAAGAGTATGATTTGATTCTACTTTTTTCATCCAATAATAAAATACATGTTACAGTGTTTTTTTACTTTAGAGTAGCTCCAATACTTAACCAGTCAAACTCTTTAATATGTGTCTATTAGTGAGCTAAAAGCTACCTACCTAGTAGGTAACTCTAAGCCTCATAAAATATTCAGATGTTCAATAAATAAAACAACCTTTTTTAAAAGTGTTTTCCGTAATGTACCTAAATGAGACAGTGGAAGTAGACAAAATGAGGCAGAGCGGATTCGTTAAATTAACTTTTCAGAATTTAGGGAATGGAACTTTTACAAAAGCCTTATATAATAATTCCACGTGCTCTTAATAAGCTATTGAGCGTTGAAATATTAACGTGTGCTCAGTGGAGGAGTCAGAAAACTCCATGAAAAGCCGACGTCGAATCTCGGCCACCACGGTAGCTATTCAAATGGCAATATTTTTTCTCTTTCCGAGGTCTAAATCTTCTGAAAGCGGCGGATTATCGTTCCACAACGAAAGCGGACTTGTTTTGTCTAGAAAAATGAGAAATACGTTTTAAGCAAAAATGTTTTGATACAAAGTAGGAGGCATAGGCATATTGCGATATGACTTCATTTAAAACTCTTGAAAAGAACCTTTGTATAATTGTAAACCTAACAAACTTTTATACATTTACTTACTTACACGCATATTCGTGATTTACATAGATACGCCACACTGCAATTCGCATCTGATGAGCTCTGTTAATATGGCGTGCTCATTTTGACCGTAATTTTGATCTTGCATAATGAACATTAAACGTGACGTGCATCCATCGACGTGATGTAGATTTCCATTGGCGCCAGTTCCAATTAACCGAGTGGTATTTCAGTGTTATGCAGCATCAAATCGCGGCGCGTTGACCCCACCAGCACAGCAGTAAAATTAGCCGCGGATTCGCAATGCACGCTCCACTGCACTCATGACCGCTGTAAAGTTATTTCTAGCTCAAACTGATTAAACCTAGCTAGCCCTACGGCGACAGACAATTAAGTGTATAAAGTGGTAAACGGCGCTTAACACTCTCAGCCTTTAACTAAGTTAGAGACAAATTCAACAAACTACGTCTCGAGAAAGGTCTTAAGAAAATTTAATTTTGACGCCAACATTAAAAAACCTGAAATTGTCTACATGTAAATAACTCGTTTAAAAGAATATGCCTATCGTAAATTACACTGTCAGTAACAGTAACAATAAAGTCCTTATAAAGCATATTTCGAAACATATAAAACGGTTAACTCACAGCGAAGATGACGACAATGAAGCAAACGGGCGGATGCTTTAATATTTCGTGAGAAGGTCTCACATAGACATTCTTTTATCCTGCTCTGCTGAAGCTCTATTTTTAACTCACTTGTGTGCAAATCGCGTGGCTGCTTCACATGAGAAAACTAAGAAAGTACGACTAAGAACGTAACCACTTAAGAAATGGTAGTTGAAAGTACATTCTGCTAATGTGAAGGTGAAACAATCAACGATATTTGCTTACACAAATTGTTATACTGCATAAAACTAATGTTATTTGGTTTATACACAATTATTTATAATATAAATTTAGGGGTTATGCTTAGCTTTGGGAAATTCGCTTAAAACATTACCGACTTCACATAGAAATCATTGAAAAAGCAAATACAAATATGTTTTTATCTTGAAAATCTTGTAAAACAAATAATTTTGTTTGGAGTAATGAGGGGATTAAGTTCTATTTTTTTTCTGAAATAACCTGTACAGAAAACACAAAATAGACCAGACATCAAGGTTATGATGACTAAGACATTTGAAGTAAGTACCCACTTTATACATAATTATATTATTATTGAAAGGGCTTTGTTAGCAACGAACAATTATCTGGTTTATAGAACACTTAGACAGCATTTACAATTACTTTTAATAATAATGACTGCTGATACAATACCATTTAGTGAAAAACGCAAACCGTGTTTTGAGAAAAATAGATTTGAAAAAATTGTTCGTTAGAGGTACCTTTCCTAGAAAGGAATTTGAGTAGCGTGGTTTAAATGCATTTAAGGGTGAATATCAACAAATGCATTTTATTGTAAATTTTGGTGGCGCTATTTTTTTTTTAGATTTTCCAGTATCCGAGATTCGTTTGCAATAAAATGAAACATTTCATTTATATATATACGTGACCGGGACATAACTATTTCCATTAATTTCAGAGCTATAAGCAATCAAAAATTTTTCTCGCCACCAATACTTAGAAATGCCACCAAAACGCTTATCGGTTGCACCAGAATTGAATATTGCCACCAAAGTTGGAATATATAATAAACAAAGACTATTAAGTAAATTTAATTGTGATAAAAATTTGTTTGCCCCTTTAAAACGACGCACAGTTGGAATTTTCTTCTGCTTTTTCTTTTTAATACCATGTGACGGGACGAACGAGTCATGCGCCTGCTGGTAAGCTACACGCTTGTCTATAACAGTGGCAGTGCCACTCAGAGGTTTAAACAAGCAAAGATCTGAGGAGCACTGGCGCTGTGCCCGTCACCCTGAGACGTAAGTTGGCAAGTCCCACGTGCCTGTAACTTCACCAGCACCCTTACCCTTCCAAACCTAACTATGCTAACATTACTGCTTGGTGGCAGAAATAGGTAAGATGGCAGTACTTCCCTGGATTTTAGTGAATGAATTCATTGTTGTTTTAATTGGCAGTTGAAGAACTATGATACACAACGCCATCTCTACGAATGTTTCCTAAAGATAAGTTGTAGAAACCCAAATGTTTACCATGAGGACATACGGTAGGTTTCTCCGGACATTAAGGCTTGATGAGGCATCATCATCATTCACAGACTGATTTCACCCACTGCTGGGTATAGGCCTCCCGAAGTTTGTGCCGTCCATCACGGTCCCGTGCTAGCCGCATTCATTCACACCCCGCGACGCGCACCATGTCGTCGACCCACCTTGCAACAGGGCGCCCGACGCATCTTTTGCCCATCCTCGGCCACCAATCAGCCGATGTCTTGTTCCACCAACAACAAGGTGACTGATCATCACCTTGCCTAGCTAGGTGTCCCGCCCATTCCCATTTGAGTTCCATGATCCGAGTTCCAGCATCCTAGACTTTCGTCCATCGTCGGATCTCAACGTTCGGAAATCGGTCTACAAGGCTGATGCCGAGCATAGCGCGCTTCATGGCCCTCTGTGCAACTCTCAACCTGTATACAGTCTCCTGCGTGAGCGTCCACATCTCGTCACCATACGTCATGGCGGGCAGAGCACATTGATTAAACAAGCGGGTCTTCAGACACTGTGGAACCTTACCTGATTTAAGGATGTCTCCTAACTTGCTAAACGCAGCCCATCCCAGCTGGATTCTTTTTGAGA